GGTGCTATTCAAATTTTACATTTCCTCCAGAGTTAGTTTCATTAATTTGTCTTCCAAGGTACTTCTTAGAAGTTGTCAAATTTATTTCAAAACCAATTTTTGAAATATGCTTTCTATATCCTTTTAAATTCTGTAAAATCTGTGGTAATGTCTCCTAGATGTTGATATTGTAATTTTAATAATGTATAATTGATATTGTGTAACAGGAAGAAAAGGTCTAAAGGTGCAAGGGAAGTGGGAGTGGTAGGGGAAAGGAAAAAAAGGGAAAAGAAAAATATGAGAAAAGGAAAAAAATGGAAAAAAGTCTTTGCAAATAGGGAAGCGTGGAGGCAGTGAAGGGAGGGCAGGGGAAGGGGAAAATAAAAGAACCACGATACTCATGTAAAAGTACAGGATCCCAATGATGAATGTAGCTGTTTTTTATACCTAAAACATACCAATAAACTTAATGGGGGTGGGGGAAAGCTACTCACCATAAGCAATTTACAAGGTTCAGTCCTGCCCACATACCACAGCTAAGGGTGTTCAGACCCCAGCCAGCAACCTGTGTTGGACAAGAGTGGCACTGGTATCCAGGCCCCAACCAGGGCCCTGTGCAGTCACCACGGTCTTGAGCATACAGGCCCCAGCCAAAGGCCCTCACAAAAAACTGCTATGCAGTTGGCCAGGCCCCAACCAGAGGCATGTCAGAGACCATTCTAAACATGCACAGGCCTCAGTCACAAACACACTCCCCAGCAAACAGTGCAGCACAGGGATCAAGAAGGCCACCATTCACAACCCATGAATTAGTACATTGGTGAGCAGCAGAGAAAAGGACTGTGTGGTCTGCTGAGAACTGAAGACCACTGGGTGAGCAAAAAGTCACCTTAACAAAGGCACAGGAGGCTGCATCTCTTGAAATGAGAAGAAACATGAACAAGTCTCAAAACTGGACCTCCATATCACCCAAGGCAACCCAATGGGCAACAAGATGGAACACAATGACCCCCTCACCTGGAAATCAAAGAGCATGTGGAAATAATGAAATCAGAAATAATTTCTCAGATCCCAAAACAGATTGTGTCCATAGTGCAAGACATGACCAATAACTCTAGAGCAGACACAGATAAACAAAATATAAGAAATGAGGAACAGGATGGAATCCCAGCATAGGAAACAAATGGTATCCATGAAACAAATGCAAACAATATCCAGCAGATTAACAACTCCATTCAAAGTTTATGCAGCAGAAGGAGCCAATGTGAGAACAGAATATCAGATATACAAGACAGGATTGCAACTGGTGACCAGGAAAAGAAAGATTTCTTAAAAATAGTAAGGGGCCATGAGCAATTAAGCCAGCAGCTGCTAGATGATGCAAAGAATAACATAAGACAGATCAGAGTCAATGAAGAAACAAGAGAGAGTACAAATAACATTTTAAAAAGTTCATAAAAGTAATGGCAGAAATCTTCCCAAGCAGCAGAAAAGAATTTGACGTACAGATAAGTGAGGCATGTAGGACTACAACTAGCCATGGAGTACTACTTCTACTCAGCCATACAGAATGAGAACCTAGAGACATTTATAGCTAAGTGGATGCATGTTGGAATGATATATACATGAAATGAGACAGAATTTTCTGACAAAATAAAAATCAAAATAAAGGAAGGGGACATAGGGTGTTCTTCTCGGAGGGGGAGGCTGCTTATAGAATCCAGCACATGACCTCACTTCCTTGGTGACAGATCCCAACAGAACTTGGAACCCTGGAGTAACGGAGCACCACAGTCTCACCAAGGCTACCTAACAGTCACTTACCTGGAGAGAGTCAGCAGTGAACATGCTGTGCTGCTTTCCAAGGCCTCCAGGCCACAGCCTCAGGACCCCCACAGGGAAAGCACTTGAGAATGAGTGAGAGGTTGGTTGACTAAGTCTAGATACTACAGGCCACTCACCAGGAACTGTCCAGTTCTCAAGGGCAGCACAGTGCAAGTCTCACCCAACCCAGAGACCTCAGGGTCTGAGATGAGAGGGACCCCAGGGCAGGTCTCCCTCAGCCTGGCCACCAGGCACTCTGAGACACTGAGTCCAGGACAAGAACATATAGGCCTGCCCACCACTGTGAGTCCCTTGCACCTCTCCCACCCTGAGTCTTCACTCTCTGTGGGGTGGGGGAGGGCAGGGTCAGGAGAGAAGCTCCTCCTGGGCAGGAACAGGTGCTGGGAGGCTGGAAGCCTGGGGTCCTGTCACATCTCAGCCATGACAGGGCTGGCAGGAGGAGAAGGCCACTGACCAGTGATGATCCACAGAAGCGACTTTGAGAGCAATCTATGCTCTACAGATCCCACCATAATGCACCCAGGTATGGCCCAATTTCCATTTTACACATCAAATGTACCAACTTCACCATGAATTAAATCAACATGTACTTCAATCATGTACTAATAAAAATCATGTAATAAATTACAAACATTACAGTTCTATTGTATTAAATTTAAAACATTTAAATTATAAACTCTAAAAAGAGGAATGAAATTTTGACAAATGCAAAAATATAGAATAGGCAAGTCAAGCAAAGCCAGACAGACTGAGACCCTCTACCTGGAAGACAAGGGTCCTTCAGGCAGATGCAAGCCTGATGCACAGAGCTGCCCCTGTCCTGAAGCTATGCACAGGCTGATAGGATCTCTGTGGCCAAGCCTGACATCATAGGAACGTGCAATGTCATAGCACTTGGCTCTGTGCACAGGCCAGTGCAGACTTGCTGTGTGCTTCCCACTCCTCAAGGGCAGCACAGTGCAGGTCTCACCTGACCCAGAGACCTCAGGGCCTGAGAGGAGAGGGAGCTTGCTATGTGCTGACTGCCTGAGATCTCCAGAAGCAGCTCACCCTTGGGGAAGATGAGCAAATCCTCACTCCCAACACCCAGTGAGGACTGAGTAACAGAACAGAAAGTGAATATAGCACTCAGGCAAATCTTCTCAAGGAAGCCTCAGTCTCCCCGCCTGCATTTGTAGCTCTGCTCAGGCCTTTGATCCTCAGTTCTACCAGTGTGACTGGAAATGCTGTCTCCTCTGGTCTCAGCATTCAGGTTGAGGTCAACCTGGAAGTAACAGTTGGATATGCACCTCCCTCTATACTTACTCTCTCAAAGAAAGGTCCTGGTCTTTCTCCACCTTATACCATCCCCAGGGCTCTTTGAAAACTGCACTAGTGTGAAGAGGGCTGGGTGGGAGAGGGTCAGTAAGGGCTTTCAAATATACTTATCTAATATACACTGCTCTACACATCATGATCCCAGCATCAATGTGGCCTAGGAGGGAAATACACAGGTGGATCCCCCACTCAACAGCCTCTCAGAACACTGCCTGCTCCTCTGCTGACTGCAGACACTACTCACTCCCACCACAATGGCTTTAACAACTTCACAGCACCCTGTGTGTTGAGAGCTAAGCACTGTGACTCTGGCACCAGTGGGCAGGCAGGGGAGGAACCATGCACAGCCTGACAACTACCTGGCCTTTAACCAAAGGAAACGAAGACAGCTTCAGAAGACTTTCTCACCTGAAGCCCAAGAGCTGGGGTAGAGGCACATCCAATGGGTGCATTATACAGAAGGGTCCCCTGGGGCCTCCCTGGCCCAGCTGGTGTCCAGATCCTGAGGACCCAGGGACAAGCCAGCAGCAGGCCATGATGCCACCTCCAGGCCTCATAACACAGACAGACAATGGTTGGCCAAAGGGAGAATCTGGTCTTGGGACTGGTACAGGGATGGGTGGCCCTACTGGGGAACCTTGTGTCCCAGGACCTAAGTGGGCTGGTGGACCTTTATTTAACTTTCTTCCCATGTGGTCCAGATCTGAAGGCCCAGCTACATGCTCTGGCACACCCTCCAGGGCTCCTTGGCCAGGTGCAATTCTGCCTGTCCCCCATCAGCCAGTTCTATATGCTCAGTACCCACCTGGATCTGGACAGACAGGAAGATCCACACTCATCTCCCAAATATCCAGGTGAGCCCAATTCACACAGGGACCCAAAGCTTGGGCTAGGGCCTGGGATGCTCTACAGCTTGACCTAAAGACTTGGTTCTGACCAACAAGTCCTCTGAGAGCATCTGCTCCTCAAAGCTGCCTGAGGCCACTATATGCCAAGAACAGGGGTTCCTGCTACCCTCAACCCCAGATCCTGGAACAAGAGCACCAGCCTGTTGGTTCAAGGTTGGTCTGGATGTCAACAAATCAGCCATCCCTGGGCTACTGGCTTCTCCCTGGGCCAACAAGGGACTGGGAGCACAGAGCAGTCCCCAAGCCAGCCATGTGCAGCACAAGGCCAGCTGGGTTGGTGGGAGGGAAAAGGGAGGACAGGGACAGGAGGAGGAGAGATGGACAGATGACAAAAGGATGGGAAAGAAAGGAAGAGAAGTTGAACAAGGCACTGCACTGATGCAACCCTGATTTTTCCACCCACTACACCTGTGGGGTAACAGGAGAGGCCAGGCACTCTAGACTTTGGGCAGCTGCACACACAGCATCTCCTCCTCTCGTGATCCCATCCTAGGGCCTGGGGGTCTTGAGGGAACAAGGAAGGGACTCAGAACTGTAAGTCAGGCAGAGGAAGAACAAGGGAAGCATGGTATGGGAGTGTGTCCTGGGTAGGTGGTTGTGGGACACAGTCTGTGTTTGCCATATGCCCCACTGGGCTGCCAGGCACATCTAGTGCCCCCTGCCCCCATCCAGGCTCAGTGACAGCAGGCAGGGATCCTCCTTAATCATCATGAGAGGGCCACAGACACACAGATCCTGGAGCCCTGACACCTCAGAGAAGCACTGTGCCTTCTGTGGGTCCCACAACACCTGCTCTTGTCCTTGCGCTCCACACCCTTCATGCTTCTCAGCTCCAGCAGTGCTAGTGACCTGTGCTTATTATTCTTACCCATGTTGTTGGAAGCAGATATGAAACTCTCACCCTAATGTTACACTTTGACAGAATGTTACTTCCAAGGGGTATGCCACAACAGTCACAGATTCAGGTTAAAATCCCAGCAATGGCAATTACTAAAACTTTAATCATAACAACAATATTTTGTATTCATCACTTACTATGATCCAAGCACTATGCAAAGTATTTCTACTAATGACTTCTTTTATCTTCAAAATAAATCTGCTAGCTTGGCCTTATTATTTGCATTTTACAAATAAGAAAAGTGAAGCACACGGTAGTTGAAAAATTTCCTCAAGAGTATATGAACAGTAAAATTTCAGAAAGTTACTTAATCGCTCTGGATTCTCTTACTGTACATCTATCACAGAGGGGATAATACCTGGGTGACTGAATGTCAATTTCAGTATAATTTTCCTTCCTACCACAGGGACAATCAAGATGGGAAATATACTTACTATATTTTCAAATATGAAGTCTTTTAGATGGACCACTTTGCCTTTTTAGAATATAAAATTTTGTGCATAAAAAAGCTATGTCCTGAACAGCATAGCATCAAGATGCCATTTGAGTTTTTTAAGTATTTTTACTATTTTCTTTTCAAAGGCCTGTAACCAAAGGAGGAAAAGCATTGGAATAGAAAAAACAATGTCCAGAGAAGAAATGCAGCACTGGACTCTTGAATGGGGAGATTTTATGATTAACTGAGATGAAGCCCATCCTGGCTTTGATATTTTAGAGCCTGTCCACAGGTCATGGTCACCTGCGGTGGACAGAATGATGACAGTACCTGGTCAGTGCCAGAAATTGCTGCCGTACCATCTCCTGGGTGCTCACAGTGCAAAACTATGCTCATAAAAGTCAGCATATTGTGTTAACCTACCATATTCTCACACTTGGTCTTCATGTTTTCACAGCTACTGGAGTGGTGGTGTTCCACAGCCTTCCCAGACTTTGCCACACTGACCAGACCCCAGTCACTTCACAAGCTGCTTGGAGCTGCACTCTTTCTCCTACTGGTCCACAGTTTTATAAGACAGGTCCAATGGAATCAGGATCTGTATCTGTTTGACAAAATAATGAGAACAGTTGTAAAAACAAACAAGGTAGATTTAACATTTTTGCTGAAATGAAGACTTCAGGTATTATTTAGGGGAAATACTGCCTTTAAAAACAAAGTACTGTAAATTATATTCTAATTACTTTAAAAATGGAAAACAATTCTGGGAGACACAGCTCTGCTAACACATTATGTGATTCCTCTCCCAATCAAGTGCCTTGCTCTCTGTCCAATTCTGTACCCAATGCCATCCACATACAGTTCTGCAGTGACTTCTCTCTGCCTCTCACCTTGGCCAAGCTCCACCCCAACTTTCAGACCCAGCTGAAGTGCCACTCACACACAAGTCCTCCTCAAATGTATTATATGCATCATATTATTTTTGTGAAATAAAATTTTTTCAAATTTATTTTTTCATTTCATTCATCCATTCATTCTCACCTTTAGTAAATAAGTATTTAAGCATTAATATGGTGTCATTAAGTGTATCAAAAGGCAAGGCACTTACCTTCCTAGGGTGCATAGTCAAGTTTACCATCTGCCATATTGTCTGTGTTACAACTACTAAACTCCACTCTGAGGACCCCCAAACCAGCCAGACACATTTAATAAATGAGTATGTCTCTTTCAGTAAAATTCATATAAAAATTGAATATGGGACAGTACTGGTCCACGAGCCATAGTTGAGCATTTCCACTTTAATCAAATGAAAACTTTTTTTCCTTAAGTGACATTACATGGCAAATAGATACTTGAAAGGAAAAGTTAACTTCCAAATAAATGAACACAATATGGATACAGCTCACCTTTTTTTTTCACAGCTCACCTTTAAGCATGGTTTTCCTAGACCAACACAGGACATTGTGTATCTTAGTGTAAGACCTCAGAATCTATTCAAGCTCAAAATGTTTTTCATTGGGTAAAAAATGATCCCATCTGCCTACCCATTCTGTGGTGTTCACAACTTTTTTGACTAAAACTGAAACCTAAATAGATGCTGTTAATAAACTTCTTGCCCAAGCCAAGAAGATTTACTGATTTTGTGGTGATTTTCCAAGGCATGGAGTGAAATTTTCACAAAAATTCTCTCTCCATGTATATATATCTCAACTTTTTCTCAGAAAAGGTATAAGGAAGTTTATAAAAGATACATAGCCCAAAAGGATAAAGAAAAACAGTTGGACGATCATACTGAAGGAAATGCAAGGTACTGATAAAGGCATGAGGTTAGCACTAAAAACTTGCCGTGCCTGGAAGCCAGCTAGACTTGATTAAGACAAGCTGTCAAACTGTCTCTGTTACTCTAGCAAGGCAAGGAAGGGCACCTTATCCATTTCAGAAGTCACAGTGTTCACAAAGTGAATTCGCAAAGGTATTTGGAAACAGTGTAACTCTTCCTGATGTTTTTGCCCATGGCATCCTATGATGCAGAGACTGAAGTAGAGTGGTGTCCTCAGTACTATCTTCCAATAGCAGCAGGCATTCCTCAGGGTCTCTCAGTACACTGCCCTTCACTTTGGCTTGATAACACAGCATCCTACCAAGTTCAACACAAGCAGGTCTGTGGGCCTAAAATACCACAGTTCTCCTGTGCCACTTTAGTGCAGGAGTGCTTAACCCAGAGGGGAAATCTTGCAGCATCAGAAGGAATAAGCAGACTGCATCCATTTTAGGTAGTCTGATATATAGGGGATTCTTTTTTACTTTGGTCTGCCACCAACAGTTGTCCCTTCTGTTAACAGGACTCCGGTTTTCCTCAGAGGGTCATTGCTCCCTCCCAGGTAAGAGCATGTGATGTACAGGGACCTGGTACCCACCTGGGACTGAGCAAAGCACAAACAGGACAGTCAGAGCCAGGAAGCCTCCAGGGAGCCCCAGGCAGACAGGCAGAGTTTTACTGCTTCTGTTGTTTTGTGTTTTGTTTTCATTTCCATTTTTACTGCTGGGAGTTGGGAGCTATTGGTCAAGTCCTTTCCCCCAGCCTGTAGAAAGCTCACTTGAGAGGAGAGGCAGCCCAGTGCAAGTAGTCGTGAATTGAAAAGTATAGCATAGTGCCTGCATCCAGGAAAACATGGCTTCCCAATGACAGGACTGGATTAATTTTTGTTGAAATTAGTTCAAATTGGGTTTCCAGCACTTGCACTTAACCTATTGATGAATACAGTGTGCACTCTTCTTTCACTTAGCAAAGTTATCAGTACATATTGAACAGCATTTACTACAAATATAATGTTTTAGTCACTTTTCTGATGCTGAAAAACAATCCCTGACACCCACAACTTAAAGGAGGACAGGTTTATTTTGGCTCACAGTCTCAGAATCTTTAGTCCATGGTTGGCCGGCTCACACAGAAAAGGCATGGTGGAAGGGGCTGCCAGGGAGGAAAGCTGCTCCAAGCATCCACAGGGGCCAGGAAGCAGAGAGGGAAGGGAGGAGGCAGAGAGGAAGGTACAGCCCCAGTAAAAGAGCTCTCTGACCAAGACCCACCTCCTAACAACACATTGAGCTATGGATTCATCTGTGAATTGATCCACATGAGGCTTTTTAGAGACACTGCAGATTAACCATATAGCAATTCTGAGTTCCCTCTAAATATGAAACCACCTGCTTCAATAACCAGTCAAGCTGGAGCAATGGGGTCATGAAAGGAAAAGGGGCTGAGTAAAAGATATCCAGCCCCAGCAGGGAGGCAAACTGAAGGCCTCACAAAGACTGCACCTTGCAGTCACCACCTGCTGTCCCCTCACACTAGGTCGCAGCACTGAACACTGCGCTTTGTGATTGAGATCACTGTCTGAGTGTGAATAACTGTCCATGTGGACCTGAAAGTTACAACCTGCTATGGATCCTCCACTCTGGGCCATCCAGGGGATACAATCTGAAACTGTTTTATTCATTAAGGAAAACTGCTAAGGACATTGTGGAAGACCTCCATGGTCCCTACTGAAACTGAAATGAAACTGAAGGCAACCCAGGAAAGAAAATCCTCCTCAAATCAAACAGATCTTTCAGTGGTGACCCTGATCACAGCATATTGAGAGAGAATGAACTCTTGGGATGGAAAATCACACCTCCTACTCTGCCTGCTGCATCAGCATCTACCTATTTATGACATAAAACTTGAAGTTCTTGAAACTCTGAAATCACAAACAGATTTCCTACTTTTTCATCGCTGTTTTTAAGGAGCATATAAATTTCATCCACTATAAAAAGGATGGGAAGTATCTTCCCAAAATAATTGAAAGCTTTATACCACAGCAATGTATGCACAACAATGTTATAGCAGCACAATATGTAACAGGTAAATCTTGGAAACAAGATGGGCAAATGACCATCAATGGATGAATAAACAAGATGTGGTGGGTTTTTTTATACAATGGAGTACTTACTGTTCAGACTAAAAAAAAGATAACCTAGGGCCAGGGATTTAGCTCAGTGGTTCAGGTGCCTGCCTTGCAAGCACAAGGTCCAGAGTCAATCCCTGGTACCAAAACAAAAAATAAATAAATAAATAAATAACCTTTCTAGGTAAACGGACACACCTTGAGACTATATGCTTCATCAATCAGACACATTTGAATATTGCATTATTTCTCTGGTATGAGAAACCAAAAGAGTAAATAAGGTCCAAAATGTATAATAGATATTGGAAAATAGGAAGAAAATGTTTAAATGAGAAGGAGAAGTAGGGAGGTGGGAGGGGAAAACAACAAGATAAAAGAGAATAGAAGGAAAAAATGGAAACAAAGCTTTTATAAATGCAAAGAAAAAGAAGAGTTGAAGGGAGGGATGGGAATGGGGCAAACACAAATGGAGATGTATCTCATACAGGTCATTCAACTGAAAAGATTATGGGAAAATTCGTACTCTGATAAATTGGTATTGGAAATATAAAGTGACATACTCCCTTGCTGTGGAAGTTTTCCCCCTGAAAACAGACCATGAACCAACCCTGCACCAGAGTCTGCAGTACCACGGGTACCACCTGTACCATATTTACCAGTTATACCATATGTAGACACTAGGGGATGCTCCAGCACCATAATTCTGTATAGCACCAAAAAAGGCTGCAGAAGGGACCCCTGAGTAGAAACCCCTAAACTCAGGAGACAAGGGGAATTTATTACTGGGATGCAAGGTTAGTTACCATATGAAAATTGATCACCACATAACGAGATAAAGAACAGAAAGCACATGATCACCTTGATCCATACAGAAAAACGTTTGAATAAAACCAAACACCTAGTTCTAATTTTTTAAAAAATCAATAGACTGAGAACATAGAAAAAGTTAAAAAACGCTATATAACTGAAAATGGTACCTACAAAAATCTCACTCTGCAGATCATACTGCCAGGAAGGAACTGAAAGTTTTTGCTCTGATATCAGGAAAAAGGCAAGAAGACCCAGTCTCACCACCACTATTCACACAGTGAATATCTCCAACTAGCGAGTAAGCTCTAACTAGAACAATTAGACAAGAAATAGGCATACAAATGGAAAAAACCCCATAAAATTAGCTCTGCTCACAAGGTAACAAAACTTTATCTCCAGAAACACCTAAAGATAGTAATAAAAAAGTATTAGAACCAATGAATATAAAATTGCAGAATAAAAATACAGAATCAGCTACATTTTATACACTCACAATGACAAGCATGAGAAGAAAATTAAGAAATCGATATATAGCATAAATATATAGCATGAAAAAGAATAAAAATATCTAGGAATGAACATAACCAAGGGAGTGAAAGACTTCTATAATAAAAACTATAAAATATCACTTAAGCAAATCAAAGATACAAACAAATGAAGATATATTGTAGATTGGCAGTCATAATACTGATAAAATGTCCACACTACTCAAAGCAATTTACAGATTCAAGGAAATCTCTACCAAAATCTGTTGAGAGCAATGCTACATAATTTTAGGGGAAAATCATTTGGTTAGCCTAGTTCTCCTGCCTACAGACCAGCTATGGAATTCCAAGACATAGCTCCATTTTGGCCTCTGGTCACAACTGAGACCTCAATGATCCAGTGATGCTGTGAGTCTCCAGGACAAAACATCCTGGGAGCTGAAAACATCCTGGGAGGAACAAACACCTACTCAGTTCCTCATTGCTCTTGGACTATTACCATCTTGTTTACCTGGATATACTGAACTCTCTGCAAGTCATTTGTTACATTTGTTTCTCCTGATGTACTGAGTACTGAATAAAAGGTGTGGTAAGCTGGGGGCTTTCATCTTTGCTTCCCAGAGCAGCACTGGTCAGACCAAAGCTCAGCTTCTTCTCAGTCTCATTTTTCTACCTTTCCTGTAATTCACCTTGTGCTGCTGTGGCTCACAGGAGGCTAGGACTTACTGCAGAGGTTCTAGTAATGTCCCCTTTCCCTGTTCCCTACAAAAACCCTAATGGCATTCTTTG